TTATAAGGTAAAACTATTTTTTAAAATCTTCTCCAGAGAATTTTAATTTGGGAGACTAAACTAAAAAATGTATTAATAATCAGAAAATATATGTTTGTGGTGGGTAGGGAGCAGGTTGAGTTTAGTGTGCATCTCAGGGAAGTTACTAGGAAGTGCTGTTTAGAACAGCAAACTGCCAGGGATGTAGCTCAGTGGCACAGCGCCTGCCTAGCAAGCGCAAGGTCTGGAGTTTGATTGCCGGTACTGGGAGAAAAAACGAGGACAGCAAATATGGAAAATATTTCTGGAAAGTTAGGTTCCTTTGGCTTTCCTCTCTGCTAAAGAGGGATCCACACTATTGAAAATAGCACTACCCTGCAAACTCAATGAAATTTGGATGGGTTGAATAAGAACTTGACACTTGCATTTGTAAGAAAGTACGTTGCTGCTGCTGCTCTTGCTTCTCCTCCTTCCCCTCCTTCTCCTCTTCTTCCTTCTCCTCCTCCTTCTCCTCCTCCTCCTCCTTCTTCTTGTGCCCCTTTGCCTTTTGCCCTCTCCCCTCCCTACTTCTTCTTTTGTTTTTTTGAGACAAGGTCTCACTATGTAGTTCAAACTTGGTGTTTTTTAGTTCACTGGTGTCAAACTTGCCACAATCCTACTGCCCCAACCTCCTTAGTGCTGGGATTGCAGGCACGTACCACTAAGCCCAGCTCAAAGGTATGTTGCTTCTAAACACATGAATACAAACATCCCTTGCTTAGATTTTGTAGGGTTATTTTTTTCGACTAGAGATTGCCTGTGTAAGGAATCTTAGCCTTTTGTCCCCTTCCTTCCAACATGGAGATTCCAGTAGCAGATTAGCTGGGGTGTAGTGAAGCTCTAAACATACATCTCTCTTTTATCATGAATGACAGGCTTATAACTGGTGCCAGGTTTGCGTCCCATTGCTATTACAGCACAACCTGAGGGACCTCCCTAGTGGCCACAAAAGAGTGTGGACACAGCCATTTTTAGTTCTCTTTGCACTTTACAGCTGTACACCAGAGCTGGAACTCACCCTCCTTCATTCTCTGAAGCACGAGAACAGGCTTCACACCTGTGACCCAGCGCTTCTCTGCTCTGTTTTGGGCCCCTGCTGTGGTGCATCCACAGTGAGTTGGATCCATAGTCACTCTTGTGTCACCTGGCAGTCAGCAGACAGCCACAGATGTTGGGGCCACTCCATGAAAACCTCTGTGCTGGTTTCCCTAGTTAATTCTGGACCTCTTTTGTTTTTGTTTTGTTTTG